AACTCGAAGTAAACTCGTAGTATTTTTACGAGGAAATATTTTCCTAGTAAAGTTTCCTAGTAAAGGTTTAGTTTTCTTGTAGTGTATTTATATTATATATATATATATATCAATATCATTTAAATTAAATTATATGCTATATAAGATATATAAATATGTTAATTTCAAAATTTATAGTGAAAAATTATTGATATTTTAATATTTTAATTTTGAAATTAGTATTGGAACAATCTCACATTAAAATTTTGTGATTTATTTAAAAATGTTTTAGAGCAAAATATACAAATCTTAATAAAATCATATGAATTGGAAGTGTCAATAATAAATATAAATTATATATATAGATATGTCAATATCAATAACTTTTAATTTTATATAATATAAAGTAATGGCTGTTTTGATTTATTTACCAAAAACATGATTGTAAATTAACAAAAGGTATTAGTTTTGATTAATGTACTTACTGTAATGTATATACTTTTATGTATACAAATTAATTTTTAAATAGGTATTTTAATATGTTATTTGATTTTGAAAATCTGCGAATTACATTTCTTCAAATAGAAGTGATTTTTTAATACTCAAAGCACTATATATATATAAATTATTTCCTTCAAATTAAATAGTTTAGTCTTGATATTTATTGCTAAAATATTCTAGTGAAATATCATGACAAATCCAATCACCTCCTTTTGAGTTTATTCAAAGAATGAGAAATTTGATAATTTGAGTGATATTTATTTCTCCATAATACCCAATGTAGCCATTATAATTTATCCGAAAAAAGATTTATGATCTTAGTACTTTTGGATTTGGTTATAATCTAAACCGGACCGAAATCCGTACTAAGTTGAAGATATCTGAAATTAGTATAGTATGTCAATATTTTTTTATATATCAAGGTAATTTTATTTTATTGTATTCGAAAGATTTTTGTAGTTTGGTTTATTTTTATTTTGAATATCATTTAGTTAGTTTAGATAGTTTAACTAATTTTAAATTATATTTACGAATAATTTAAATTTTCTGACAATTTTGTGTCAATTTTGAGGTTTCAAAAATATTTTTTGGGACGTTTTCAGATTTTGGTTACAATCCGATCCAAACCAAACTCGAAAGGAACCGAACCAAAACCGATCAGATAAAGAGTAAAATCTGAATAGATCTGAAAAGCATAATATCAAAAATTTGAAAATCCGAATCAATGAAACCAAAACCGACGGATCTCCGACTGTCCAGTCATATGATATACTTAAGACCAACATTTTTATTCGTTAATTTACAATTGATAAAGATTATAGTATTCCAAAATTTTAAAATCGAATAAACATTAATATAAAAAGAACTCACCCCGCGCATACGCGCGAGTATCATCTAGTTAAGTAAATATTCACAATACTAGATTGGTCAGTTTTTTTTTTTTGTTGGCAAGAAAACAGACTCTTATAAACTCTGTGAACCAAGACGGGAGATCCGCATCCATATTGACGATGACCGACGGCTGTTGCCTTGCACCACGGACGAGACTGTCCGCCCTTTTGTTATGTGTCCGAGGCACATAGATGTACTCCGAGCTATGGAAACTTCTCTTCAATATCTGTATATCTTCTAAGTAACTTGCAAGCCGGCCATTCATCTGGTTCTGAAACCATCTTCACCAATTGAGAGCAGTTCGTTGCAAAAGTAACATTATATTGCTTTAAATTTTGCATACATTCCATTACCCAAATGAGGGCTTCAATATCCGCGTGCAGTGGCGATTGACTCGCTCTTGAACTTATATGTCATGCAATTAATATATGTCATGCAATTAATCTATGTAAGATACAGTACGCGAAAATATATGTCAAGATAATTTATATCACTGGTTTTCATATGGGATGCATCACATAATATTAGTTATGTTTAATACTGATTCCATGCATTACTGTTTTCAGGATTGAAATTATTGTGTTTACCAAAACAAAAATTGAATGTATTGACCATATCCCTTATATATTAACTGAGAAGCCTTATAACATGTTTCGGTAATCAAATGTCATTATGAGAATGCTTCTCAAATTTACTAGAGAAAAATGTTGGTCATATAAACATATAATATATTTTTTATTAAACTAAGTATAAAAGTATTATTGATGCTAATCATTATTTCCTTAAATAAAATTTACGAAATTATCTAATATGGTTATAATATATATATCACAATTAATGATTTGAATATAAAAGATTTGATAAAAAATTGTATACCCTCTACTCTTTTTGTTAAATTTATATTCTGAAATTAAATTAAGCAATAACATTAACTATATAACAAAAAAAGTAGATTTTATATATGTTATATTTTGAATTTTTAAAATGACTATAATTTAAAAAAAATTAAAATTTCACATATAATATTTTTGATTAATAGTTTATTTTTTTGTTATAGCACGATACAAACAATTATATAATTAATGAGTAAGAACTATCATTTAATATATATTAAAATTAGATGTATAATATATATATTTAGTGATGTTTGAATTAAACAAAATACCATTTAAAAATACATAAAATTTTAATTCCAAAATTGCGTTAAACAAATTGAGAACTCAATACTTTAATGACAAACTTTGAATTCAATTTTCTTAAACAATGATAAATTACTGTTAAGGTTAAATCTCTCACATTAAAAATGATATTATCAGTATTTTAAAAATTTTACTAAAAGAATATACATATGATCATGAAACCATGTAAGTGTGAAGTTTCATTTATTAGATATACAAATTTAAATTATAATATATATATATATATATATATATATATGTTAATATCATTTATTAATTAGATTTACTTATATAAAATGATTGTAATAAACAAAGATTAATTGTATACATAGTTACAGATTATGAATCATCATAGATTCGTCGTGAATAAATAGTTACAGATTTTTTAATTATTCAATATATATATTTTAATTTTATAATATATAAAAAACTACGTGATTGTAATATATATATTGAATAATTAAAATGATTGTAATAAACAAAGATTAATTGTAAAATTACGTGTTTTTTACGAAGAAATTACGAGGAAATTATGAATCATCATAGATTCGTCGTGAATAAACGAGAAACATGTTTCCTCGTAAAAAAGACGTTGTTTAGCAAGTATATTATGTGGCAGACTGTGTTTCCTTATAAAGTACTCGCTAATGTTACGTGTATTTTAAGAAGAAACCATTCAGCAAGGAAAGAACAATGCCAACCACTTTTTAGTTGTAAACGTGTTTGTTGTTGGGCGTATACCTACCAATTTTCCTCATAAATTCCTGGTAAAATGTCACTTACCAATTCGAAAATTTTATATAAATATGTTGTTTGAGTTTCAAATGAATTACACCCAAAAATTTGAAAACTTAAAAGAGAGAAAAAATTGAAAATGTGAAAGAAAAAAATGTCTGGTGATGGAAATATTTTAGAGTTACGGAGGTGATGTATACACACAGAGATGGTAACGGGAGAGTACCGAAAGAATATCTCGAAAGGCTGGAGACATTTATGCATCAAGCAGATTCTACACTGCTCTTGCAGGAAAGCGGTAAGATGTTTTGTCCTGTTTGAAAATGCAACAATACAAAATTAAGCCCTCGTGAAAATGTTTGGAAGCATTTAGTAAATAGAGGTTTCACGCCACATTACTATATTTGGTTTCAACATGGAGAATGTTATAGTTGTGGGAATGAAGCTAGTAGTACTAATAGCAATTTTCAGGTTGAATTGGTTGATCTTTTGCATAGTGAAAATAGTTACCATCAGAAGGAACAGATGGTAGATTATGATTCATGATATGGTAGCTGATGCAATCGTAGCTCATGATGAAGCTGAAGAACCTATGATAGATGCAAAAATCTTTTATGAAATGTTAGATGCTGCGAATCAACCAATTTACAGTGGTTGTAGAGAAGATCTCTCTAAATCGTCGTTGGCTGCTAAAATGATGAATATTAAAACCGATCACAATCTACGTGAAAATTGCATGGATCCACGGATAAACTTGTTTAAAAAGTATTTGCCAGAAGAAAATGTGTCTGGTGATTCTTATTATGAAATTCTTCATAGTCGTAGGTTGCCTTCGGAGATGATAGACGTTTGCATCCACAATTGCATGATTTACTAGGGAGGTGATGAAGTTAGAAGAATGTCGATTCTACAAGAAGCCATGATTCAAACCACAAGGACGAGGGCGTAATAGGGTTCCTCTCTATCTCTTCTTAAGGTATTCCTCTCTACTTCCTCTCTAGATGGTTTAGGTCTTAGTTTAGGATTATTTTAGGTGGTTAATTTAGAGAATTTAGCTAAGTCATTTTAGATAAGTTTATAGAATTTGTTGATGATATAGGATGATGATTTTAAAATGTTAGTGTTTTTTTAAATAGTTAATATTTTGAATTAATTTTACTTTCTTAGATGGTTAGGAAGAATAAGCTTACGAAAGCGACGGTTCATTACAGAGACATCTTTGGTGTGCCTGGTACCCATATAGGCGCATCATCTCTTTTAGCTCCCAGTTCTTCGGTCTTCCTCCTCCTCCTCCTTCGATTTCATTTTTATTATCATTCATAAATCTACCGCTGACAACTTTTTTCTATTTCACATAATTTCATGTATACATTTTCACAACATTTTTAGTTTTTTTTTTTACAGCACAACATTTTTAGTTTTTTTTTGTCATCTGGTAGATTAATCAAAACTGAAACAAAGTTTTTTGTCATCTGGTAGATTAATCATAACTTAAAGCTCCACAGACCCTTACTAAAAAATCCGGAAAACCAGTCGTTTAAAATCTAAGGGACAGCATGACCTCACATCATCAAAGCTTTACAAGGAAGAATCAACACCTAAGACCAATGGTCGAGCAACGAGACCTAACCGCCACTAAGCACGGACAGGAACTTGTCACCACTGAGGGCAAGAAATAGGACCAAGAACCACAGAAGAGAACCCAATCCGAAGCTCCTAAACGTCACAATACACCACTGCCTCAAGACCAAAGAGCTCCATAAAATCAAAGAAGCCTAAACCACAATCCCAACACAACCAAACCAACGCACAAACGACTAGCAAACGTGACTAACAAAACCTACGAAAGCCTTCGCCATAGATAACACTAGAGTACAGCGAATACAAGTCCACATAATCACCAGACAGCTGCCAGGATATCGCCTTACCAGTTTCGCTGGAAGAATTAACAACCAACATTAGAGCTGGCATAGTCCTAAACTGCGTACCAGAAAACAGATTCGAAACTAGCAAAAACATCCCAAGTAGATCAAGAAGGTGATGAGGGAAGCCCACTTCTAACCCAAGAGTACCCAGACTGAAAAGGTCGCACGTCCTCATGCACTGCCTTCACTAGGTTTTGGAACTCATGAGAAGGGGAAAATTGGATTTCCAAACCCTAAGCCGATGAAAAACCGACCCCCCACTCAATCTCCATAGCTCCTAACGCCTCACCGCTACACCAGAGAAGAAGATCGAGGCATCCATGACGAAATCAACTCAACCAGATCTGAGCGACGCGGAGGTCTTCCGTCCTCAAGGTAACGTGCATATCGACGAAGGAGAGAAGGGCTGGTGAGAGGCAAAAAGAGAGAGACAAACGAAGTCTGGCGTCGGTGGACGCGCCACGTTGTGTTAATAAAAAAAATGTGTATTTGACGTGAAGGTGAGAGTTTATTGTATGAACATTTTTAGTTTAAAAAGCTTCTTTTAGTTGTGAACAAAACAAGCTCTTTTTTACCGAACTTACTTAGCAGACTTCTTCTTTGACCTTTCGTATAATTCAAACTAAAAGTGTTACACGTTCAGATCTTTGAAAAATGGCCGACCAGTAATAACTAGTTTGGGGAGCCTAAGGTCAAAGATAAGAGAGTGATTGTTTCTCTGGACAGACTTTGAAAATTTCAGTGTCATTTGGTTTGCGCACTGAAGATTATTCATCCTTCTTATTGTCCACCAATAATTTCAATTCTTTGCTTCTCCTTGGATCTCATTCTTCTTCATATTACACATCACATGTTTCTTCATCCATTGACCTCAAATACTTCTCTCTCTCTCCATCAAAGCTATGGAGAAACTCTGTTTTAGAGACTCTCTTTCTCTCTTTACGACAATGCTGGTTATTGTTCTTCTTATTCTTCTTCCTCATCTCAAGCTTTCTGCTGCTTCTACTTATTCTCGTCCAAAGAAGTTTTACATCAACTGTGGGTCGGATTCTAACGTCACTTACGCTGGTCGGAGTTTTATTGGAGATATGGCGTCCAGTGGGAACTTCTTTTCCTTCACCAAGAATGGAACTGAAGCCCGCAACCAATCTGGATCGTCCACTGCACCTGAAATCTATCGGACGGTTAGGATCTTCAGACTCTCTTCTTCTTACAATTTCAAACTCAATTCCGTTGGTCTACACTTCCTGCGTCTCCATTTCTCTGCTGTCTCTTCTCAAACAGAGCTTTTAACTGCTCGTTTCACTGTCTCCGCTACTTCTGGTTCCACTCATCACTTTAAAAGTCTCTCGATTCATAACTTTAGTGAGACCCCACGAGTTGAGGAGTTTCTCCTCATGATAGACTCGCCAGAACTCCAAATCGGGTTTGTGCCTGAGCTCTCATCTGTAGCTCTCATTAACGCCATCGAAGTGTTCTCTGCTCATAATAATAATAACCTCACAGTTCTGTCAGATTCCGACAAGAATCTGCATACAATCTACAGATTAAACGTAGGCGGCAATGAACTCACACCGGAGTATGACGCCTTGGGACGAACTTGGTCGCTAGACAGATGGCTATCTCTATGAGAACGATTCTTCTAGAAGCATTCTATCGTCATTACCAATCTCTGCTCCTCATTTCTTCACCGCTCCTGATTCCGTGTACCTGTCGGCTAAAACAATTAACCGTATCTCCGGTAAGTTGTTTGTAGATCTAATGTTGATGAACCTTACATGGTCTTTTAAGGTCAAAAGTAACACTAGACACTTCATCAGGGTTCACTTCTGCGACATCATGAACGTATTACTAAACTCTAACTCTGATTTCTATCTCTACGTAAATGGGCATTGGCGAATAGATGTAAGGCCCTCAGAGAAGGGTAGGTTGGTGACCCCGTTTTATATCGACCTCGTGAATGTCTCTGATGCTTCTGGACGCTTGAATATTAGTATAGGTAACAAGGTATCCGGTAAGGATGCTGGTTTTCTGAACGGTTTGGAGATTATGGAGTTTTTGGAGAAATCTGGTTCTGATTATTCAGATGGAAGTAGTTCTCAGGTGGCTTACATTATCGCAGGTTGTGTTGCTGCTGGGTCGATTCTCGTCATGAGTTTGTTGTTTGTATTTTGGAGGAGATCAAAGAAGAAGAAGGCAGACACTGAGATCACTGTGTGGTCTCCTTTGCCATTGTATAGAGGAGGTGGGAGTTCCGACAATATATATTTCTATCCGGACAACAATTCACCACTAGGCGACCTACAATTAGGTTTGAAGATTCCCTTTAAATGCATTTTGATAGCTACAAACAATTTCGACGAGATGTTGTTGATTGGAAAAGGCGGTTTTGGAGATGTTTACAAAGCTATTCTTCCAGATGGAAGTAAAGTGGCTATCAAGAGAGGCAAGACTGGTTCAGGACAAGGGAAATTGGAGTTTAAGACAGAGATTCAAGTCTTGTCAAGAATCTCACACAGGCATCTCGTTTCTCTGAAGGGTTACTGCCAAGAGAACTCAGAGATGATCCTTGTCTACGAGTTTATCGAGAAAGGTACGCTTCAGGAGCATCTATACGGCTCGGATTTGCCTTCATTGTCATGGAAACAGAGACTGGAGATTTGCATCGGAGCAGCCAAAGGGTTGCATTATCTCCACAATGGTCCAGAAGAAGCAATCATTCACAGAGATGTCAAGTCCACAAACATATTATTAGACGAGAACACTGTCGCCAAAGTTGCGGATTTCGGGATATCGAAACTGGTGGTTCGTAATCAAGAACAGATAAGTATCAGTACTAACATCAAAGGAACATATGGTTACCTCGATCCAGAGTATGTGAGGACACGCATCTTGACAGAAAAATCAGATGTGTATGCGTTCGGAGTTGTTCTCCTCGAGGTCTTGTGCGCGAGACCAGCTCTCGACCGTTGTCTTCCTCAAGAAGAAGTGAATCTAGCGGAATGGGCAATGTCATGCAAAGCCAAAGGAACAACTGAAGAGATTGTAAATTCAAAACTGAAAGGTCAAATAGATCAAAATTCTTTGGGGAAATTCGTGGAAATTGCCGCAAATTGTTTGAAGGATAATGGAGACGAGAGGCCGAGCATGGCGGATGTGAGCTGGGATCTGGAATACCTTCTACATCTTCAGATAATGACTATTCACAAAGAACCACCAATACAACAAATCATGTCAGCGAACAGGATGACATAATTTGTTTTAAAAAAAAATTGTAAACACACTGCCGCCGCAATATCATCTATAAATGTGCTACGAACCACCAATACAACAAATACGTTTACACCAAAAAAAAATACAACAAATACGTTTGCCACATGCTGTTCTCTGTTTTGAACCTTTATATTAATCAAGAAGCCAACTCCCCGCCAGTTTTCTGCTCGCAGAACTGAACTGTTACACTTTCTTATATTTTTTTTGGTCATATAATTTTGTGAACATTTGTAGCTTGTTATAAATCTATCTTATTAAAGTTATAGTACTCTTTAGGTTTGTTTGGAAACTTAAATAGTAGTAATAAAGAGTTTAATGTTGTTTGGCTACAAGTTTAAAGGAGTTGGGCTTTTAAACATTGTTATAATAGAATTGGGCTTTTGTTTAATTTATTTTATGTTATGGTTGGTTTTAATTATTTGGCCCATTGTAGTAATTTGTGTTTTTAGTTTATATTTTATATAAAGACCATATTCAATTTTATTTATTGTTGACTAAATTAAAAATAACATCAGTTTTTAAGTTAATAACAATTTACATTTCAAATAATTTAATACTCAAATATATTTTATCTAAAGTATTTTACATTATTCAAATTATCATAAAGACACAAAATATTTGAATAGTTTTAACTAAAATATTAAAATTTTGTTTTCGTAATTGGATATTTATCTGAAACACCTATCCCCCCCCCCAAAATCAGTTTTTCCCTGATTAATCTAAAATTAATCCTAGAAATCGTAACCAAACCGTTATCATATTGGAACCCAAAATTTTATCTGATATTAGTCGGTTATTATAATTATTACCAAACTCAGCTCAAACCAAAAGAATCGAACCGGACGCAAATCAATTTATATAGATAACAGAACAGATCTTATATCTATAGAATTAAAAAAATTACGAACATAAAGAATCCAACAAAAGTTAAACCCAAAATCAAACCCCAGTCCTATTACATTCAATATGATCATAGTTTTTGAAATACGGTAATAACCGATGACTTATGAATATATTATGCTTTTCCAAATTAAGTTAAACCCGCGCCGGTGCACGGGTCAAGATCTAGTTTAAAATTAAACCACTAATCACTATGTTTCAAAGTGAGATTTTTTTAAAAGTTTATTAATTTATATTTGTCTTTAAAAATTCAAAATAAAACATATATAGAAAAATCGAGATTTTATTATTTTTTTAATTTGATTGTCTAACTTATTTAATTAATGTGAATATAAAACAAAAATGATAAAGGATGTATAAATTATTATAAAATCTTTATTATTTAAAATCATTAATTATCTTATATATTTTGATCAGATTAGGTAATTCTTTATGTTTATGTAGGAAATAATGAATAATATTTTTATATCAAGAATTAATTATATGATTAGATTAATGAAAATATACTATATATTTAGATGGGCCAACTTATTCTTTTAAAGATTTTGAAATTGATTTTCATAATGACACTTGTCATGGTTCAAAAGTTGTAATGTTTCTCTTTTTATATATAAGAGATTAATGTTTAACCTGTATAACTCGATTTTGCCAAATTGGATCATAATGTTGAAAATGCAAGCAATGCAAAAATAAAGTGTAGAAAATAAAAACACATGATTCATTTAGAGCATTTTCAAAAAGACTGTCTATTTTAGACTTCGCAAAATTCTATATTTGAAGTTTAGAGGTGTTTTTCTCCAAAAGTAAGACTTCAACTTAACTTCCAAACAATTTATATTTTGTAGTGAGGTTCTTATATTTGTTATAAATAATTCAAATTCATATAAAAATTTATAAATAACTAGCAATATATAAAAACATTACAGAAATATGAATTTATAAATTGTTCACCAAAATATAAAATCATAAATATAAATATTTAATTAAATATTAAACTATAAA